CATGGGCGAGCAGGACATGCTCTTGCTGCAAGGTGGCCATGTTGAGCATTGGTTTGGAGGACACGCTCGCATACTGCACGGTAGAGGAGGTTGCGGCTGGCTTCGAGATGACACTGGCTGACACTGGTTGAGCAGTTCCTGCGCAATTGAGGGATGCAAGACCGATTCTTCTCTGAGTGTGGAGATTGTACGGCCGGTGTGCTGTTGACTGTTGATGGTATCAAAACGGCTTTGATGTCCCAATATCACCGCGATAAAGGTGTTTTGACAACTTGGGCATGTTAGCTGCGTCGGGATACCGCTCGCCATGAGAAAGATCCTGCACTTCTTAGATCTGAATCCGGTTCACAATTTCCAATTTAATTCGGATTGTACTTTGTCTTGTTTGCCGAGCATTCTTATGGTAGTTGAAAAATCCTTCTGGTAACAGCCTGATTGGCCACCAGATTTGGCGATTCGCTGACGTACTGTCTGGTGCTTCGATGGCCGGTTACGGAATACGATGCGCCGCTTGTCTTCCGAGCACTCTGATGCAGTGTGTATGTATTAACTTGATTTTGTTGTGGGGCTGGGACGGCTTTTCCGACTGCGTGTCCCACCCCTGTCTGGTGAGCGCATCCCCCCCCCATGTTTCATTAGCGCATGCCAATACGGCTGCGTCCGACTGGGCTCTGTGCCCGGAAGGTGGACAGTGGAAAGTAGCAGGGAACATTCTGCAAACAAGGCAGAGATTGCGATGATTGCGAAAAAAGCACGTATCCTGAGCACCTTTCACAATAGCGACCGAGATTAACAGCGACATCAGCATGTAGTTAGTTCTCTCAAATTAGGGTCCCTTTTTTAGGTCCCCAATATGGTAAGGTACCCTTATAAAAAGGGGCGCTAATTTGGAGAACTGCCCATGTCCATCATCACCATCGGCACTTCGACGACAATAGCGGGGCCCAGAAGTGCAAAGGCCATGCCATGCACAACCTGCCCAGTCCTTCTAAAGTCCCTTAATTCAAGGATATACCTACTCAGGATCCTACTATAATAATTTAAGGTATATACTCCTTAATTCAGATATACCTTATATCATATTAGTGATCCTACTATAAATTTGAGGTATCTTCCTTTTTTTCAAGGGATCCTGGAAGGTCTGCATGATTCGCGAAAGCCCCATGGGATGGTCAGCGCCTTGGCTCCACAGCCTTGCGCTGCGCTGCCACCTCGCCACATGGGGGCTTCCGAAAATAGGGGACCCTAATGTAGCACCCTAAATAGTGGGATCATTATTATAAGGACCCCAAAATAAGGTACCCTCAGTTTCGGAAAGTCCCATATGAGACCAGAAGTGAATTTTCTGATGGTTCAAGGCTCAGGGCTGAGAGCTGAGGGTCTAGGGTAGGTAACTCGGGTGTTTTGGGTGTCTCCGATCAAGTTTGCTGTGTTTGGGATTGCCGGGAATCATCGTATGTCGACGACGTTCCAGAATTGTTGTTTGCAACCGGCTTCCAAGCTCCAGCGCAGTGAAAATGGATCGGGCGTGGGTCCGGAATTTTCTGCTTAAAACTCCAAACTAATCACAGCAACCCCCCCAAGACCCAGACAAAGTAAGGACCTCACAACGATTAGATATGGGTTTCTGGAAGCAACCTTGCTAGGTATTCAGGCTTGTATGTACCTGACTGGGCCTAAACCCTAAACTCTATAGACTTGGCCCATGAGACTCGAGACCGAAATCCTAAACCCAAGCCCCCGACCTTAGCCTAATAAATCCCCCGACACCCAGAAACGTCTGGAGCCTCAATATCTTACTCTCTCCCCCCTGATTCTTCAAGTGGTGCAACTTCTGCAGCGATGGAACGGTCCCAGGTCCAGGGTCGTTGGTTAACGAGTCGACACGGTTTTGGAGTTTAGAGCTCCGGGTTCCTGGGTTCTTGTTAAAAGATTTACTTTAAATTACCATAATAAGGAAACCATATGATTTACTTTTGATGCCATTTATGGTAACTTAAGTTAAACCCCTTATAACACGAACCCGGGTTTAGGGACACATGATCTGTTTTGGGAAAGTCTCGGGTTGTGGTTTGGGCCATGGCGTTAGATCTTGTTTGGGAAAGCTCCGGGCCTGGGGCTCTGTGGGAAAATTAAACAGCTTAGGGAAGGAAGGTGGTCCACTGCCAGGAGATCCGAGCTGCAGGAATGGGGGCGCTTCTAGTACCGCCTAAAACTAGGACGTTTTTCAACGAGGCCTGAGAACCGTCCTCTACAGCAGTTTTTTACGTTCTAATGTGCACCAGGCTGTTCAGTAGTCCCTGGGGTAACCGTATGCATGTATGATACCAGGAACAAGCAAGCAAAACACAGCTGAAAAACCCAGCTTGTGCAGGGTTCGCGGAAAGTAAGGCCGGGAATTCGCATCCTTGAATGCAGCACGCCCAACATACAGTTACTGTTTCTGTAGGGCCCGAACGTTCAAATTGATGGTTCAGAAAGAGAAGTACATGGGAAGGCACAATGCAGCAAACCTTGAACTTTCAAGTTTATCCTAAATCCTAAACCCCAAGGCACAAAACCTAAACACAACCGAGCCGGCTGCCTTGAAGGATGCCCCGTGCGGAGTGCGTGGCGTGTTCACTGGCGAGGTCGCGGAGGTTGTGCTGTGCCTCGGTCGTACAATGCGCGATTAGATGCGAAGGCTCTTAGATGATTGCGAAGGAAAACTTGCTTGAATCCACCTGTATGTCCGTCTGGTTTCATGCACATAAGTGCCTTTGCGTATCTGTGTATTTCTGGACGTATGTGTTCCGAGGGTGTATGGAGGTAACTGCTTAGGTGTTTTCCTGAACTTCAAGGTCATGAGTACGAACAATATTCATCTGGAGTTTAGATAAGTTATAGACATAGATCATCTCGGCCGTGCTGACGACAGGTATTTACACCGCCTGTGAGCTTGTTGTCCGTCCTGTCTTTGGTACATGTTTTCTCCGTATGTGCGGCGAAGTGGTTTAGTAATCGTATCAGATTACCAACTCGATGACTATCCTGCTCGCAACTGCTTGCAATACGTCGTCTAGCCTATTTGCTAGACTAACTAACACTGATTATCTTGTGCCTGCACTTAATCACTCGTGGTGACCCCCCCCTGCGGTGAGCTATGTTTGGATTGTGGTGAACGGCAGTGCAGAGTGCCAACTGACTAGGCTTCAACGTTTGGGCTGGAACCCGTTGGGATCTACGACAGGCTTTTGGACTGTGAGGTTTAACGGTTCGGGTGTAGAGAGGATCTAGTAGGACTTGTGAGTTGCCAAAGGGTTCCGTGCGAAAACCAGATCATGTGGACATGGTGCGGTCCAGTCGGGCAGCAGGGAAGCCAACTGCGAAGAGCTGTTGAAAGAATACCGAAACTACACAGACGCCTTTGCAACCGTACCTGACGCTACTCAACGCTGTAGACATGACGACAGAGCATTCATGAGCCTTTCGGAAAAAGGCCAAAACGTCTTTCGTAAGCTGAGCACCCAAACCAATTCCGGCCCTGCACCCCACGCCCCGCAAGACGAAACCAGAATGGAAGCAGCAAGCACCAACCGCCAGTAGCCAGCAGAACATCGACTGCGCTACAAGAGCGGCAACCACAGCAGTAACATTAGCTGAAAAGAGAGCCAGCACCACCACAACCAATAGAATTGCCGCAGCCGCAACTACGAAGCCGGCGGCAGCAACGAATCCGGTGACGACAACAAAACAGGGACCGTCTATATGTTTGTCCGAGTCATGCAAGTACAACAGCAGGTCTGCCACCAAATGACTTGGAGGTGTTGCGGCTCGACATGGGCGGCGAGGACCTCGCAGGGCATCACCATATGCAATGCAACTGCTGTTCGCAGGAAAACTGAACCTGCAAGTGCCTATCAGTTCCTACTGCATACCGCAGTTCTAACTGCTTCCACTGCAGCGAGATCCCAATTCAAGAAGTTCATCACATGTTTGGGAAAACACCGCTCATGCTGGAGAAGCTCTGCCAACGCTTAATTAACTTAACTCTTCCATGAAGCCCGAAGGAAAACACTCGCCGAGATCGGATGCTCGCCGTCGAAACCAAAACTCCCCGACCGAATCAATTCAGACGAGTTTCTTCGCTGGACCTGGCGACATGTACGAGCAAAAGCTGTTTACCATGCATTATGCAGTAAATGCAGTAATAGATGCTAGTGGTGGGGCGCTGCAGTGATTGTGTGGCAGTGGCATAGGCATAGTGGGTGCGGGTGTTAATGACGCCAGTGGTGGCGATGACGGTCAAGGAAGTGCTGCTCTTGCTGTTGTTGATACTGATGATCGAGTCGCTGTCCTTGCCAGTTTCTTGTAGGTGCTGCTGCTGTCGCTGTCGTGCGCGTCACCAAGCGCGTTTGCGGAATCAGAAACGACCTTCTCGGACTAATAAGTGCAAAGCACGAGATCAAATGGCGCAGTACATTGCTAACTATTCCTTGTCGCAGAGTTCCCTTCCCGCGGGACAGGTTCACCGTTAGCTGGGCTAGGTGATATGTATGTCTATATGTATGCCTATATGTATGTATGTATGTATGTATGTATGCATGTACGCATGTATGCATGTATGATGTATGTATGTATGTATGTATGTATGTATGTATGTATGTATAAAGATAACCATGCGGGTTAAAGGTCACGTAGCTGAGTAAGCTCTTGCACTAGCATCGCGGAGCCCTCAGGCCCGCATCTCCAAAGGCATTTAGCGGGTACTTGATGTCCTTAAGCCCCAAATCCTACGCCCTGAATTCTCGTGTTTAGGATTTAGGGTTTGCATCTCAAACTCCAGCTCCATGCTACCCAACTGACTTGGGCCCATGAGGTGCTGGAAGTCTAGGGGGTTAACTCAAAAAACCTTACAATGGACCGCGACACAGAAACACGCTTGAGTGCAAACACGTCTCATGTGGATTGGTGATCAATTCCAAACGAGAATGATAAGCAGCAAGTCTGCACACCAAGGCCTGCCATCTCTCGGATCATTTTCTCCTGCTCGTTGAGCTTCTCCTGTCAAGCGACTTCTACTACAAAGACGGGTTCTAGCCTTAATCGAACTGGGGCTACTAGGTTAGGGGGTCCCCCTCAAGACCACAAAGTAATCCATTGCAGCCGCCCTCCGGGGCCTATACCCATCGAAGGCTGTTGGTTCAATATTGGAGTCGATAACCCAGAGAACCCTATACCACATCTTAACCCCTTAAAGCCTACAAGGCTAGTCTCTCTAATTGAGCATTGCTTAGTTCATGGGGTATCAGGCTCTCCCTGACAATGCCGTTTTCGCTTGGATCTCTTGCCTCCAAACCCTATACTCTTATGAAGCACCTAGGAATATGGCACCCTTGCAAGCCTTGGCAAAACCTGTATTCAAACCTTGAAAGAAGAGCAATGGTATGTGCACACCGCCAAATACTTGTGGCCTGCAGCTCACACACTTGCTGCCCAGTGCAGATGAGCCTCAGTCAGCACGTCAGGGTTGAGGCTCTGTTTAGGGGGCAGGCTAACGTGTTGAGGTTTATAGGGCTTAGGGTCAAGTCTCGCTGCAACGGCTTTAAAGGGCTCGTTGCTTTCTTCGATGGCGTCCCCCCTCCCAAGGAGGCCGAAGTTCGGTCTGGCTTCCGATTTGGCCCCAAGCTCTGGTTTAGAGTTCCTCAAAAGCATAGAGCAGTGGCGCAGGAGTGGCTAAAGGCTTTGCTAAGGGAACATCCCTGAACCCTTGGTCTGCAACCCAAAGTGCCGACGGCTCGCAACGCAAAGAACAAACCTTAAAGTTGAAACCCTAAACTTTCTTTTTGAGCAGGGACTGCAATGCACTAAGCCCTGAAACCCTGAACTTTAAACCCTGAATCCCTCAAGCCATGAAGCCCCGAAGCCGGAATCGCCCAATATAGGATCCCAAGGCTGCTGCGAAGCAGTGTCATTAATTGCTCGCGACACACCCCCAAAACTACATTCTGCTTGAACAAAACTCAAAAGGGTACACGATATGCTGCTCACTGAAGGCCTACTACCCACAATGCTGACTGAAGCTGTTGTACCCAAAACCCTAAACTTCGCAGCCCTTTCCCCCATGCCCTAAACACCCAAACCCTAAACCCTGAACCCTAAAATACTAAACCTTATATATATATATATAGATATATATATATAATATACATACACCTTGAGTCCAGGTTGGAGCCAGGGAAGCTCGTACTGAACCGCCTTGCGCTTTTGCAACTCGTCCAGGAGCTCCTGTTGGACCTTTGCCTCGTTTCACGGCCGTTGTTAGTTCTCTATTCACTCGCTTGCTCATGCATGTATGTTTAGGAAGGTAGGTGCACAGACTGTGAATAATCATGCCCTTTCGGTGCAACCATTCGCTATGGACATCTTGAGGCAAGCGGTTCCAAGAGTTCGGGCTGAGGTATCTCTGGCAAAGGGTAAGTTCTTAGGCTCTTAGGGTTTTGACCCGGACATGGCATTCAATCGCTCTTTGCTTGAGGGCAAATCCCGGTCCGAAGCAGCCTCGTGCGATGATGGACCGCGCTGTTTGACTTCTTACTTAAAAAAAAAGCTGATACTTACTTCTCGAAACTCTGACTTTCTGAAGCCCTCGCACTCAAGGCTCACGTCAGTTGCAGGCCAAACCATCCCAAACCCAAGAACTCCGAAAACACCTCTAGATCGAGCACAGGGAAACGGAACACAAACCCTCTAGAAAGCCTTCATCAATCCCCCTTATGTCGCGGCCTTACATAGGCCCTCCAGATATCACAAACCTCTAGGTCAGGTCGAAACGAATCCCGAGGTCTCTCCGGAGACCTGCCGTTCGATTCGTCGAAAGCCGCTAGATAGGGCACTTAAGAAATTGGGCCAGGGTGCCCTTAAAAGGGCGACTTGCAAAGGTTACTACAATGTATGAGAAGCGTGCCCTTGCAGAGGTTCCACATAATTAGAATCCCAATAGTAATTTCCGGAATTTTTTCATGCCGTAACCATAAAAACCCCCTACTGTTCCTTAGTGACCACTGTAAACTAATGACCCTAAACCATAAACCGAGGCAGTTGCTCTCCGAGGGTCAGTGGTTCAAGCGGCCACTAAGCCCAAGTATTTTTAGGGGTTTCGGAAGCTCAGATTTGACAGTTATGGGTTTTCTTGAGCCCTAAACCGCTTCAACGGCCCTGAGGCTTAACATCTGTGGGCTGCAACTTCTCAGGGCTGGACCAGGTTTGGAAGGCGTTGGGGGTTTGAAGCTTCATGTGGTGCTGCTTCAAACAACACAATCACACTAACCGGTGCTGAGCTGCGTCAGTCTCACCAATAACAGCTGGAACCATAGACCTTTACATCCCGTGATAACTCAGCGAGAGGCTTGAGGATCTTGCGTCACCAAACACATCAGCACACGTTGCATCTAAAGCACGTGTTTCTGTCGGCAGAATGGCATGCATGCAGCCAGTGGTAATAGAAGATTTGCCATGCTAGAGTAGGCATAGACAAGACGACGTAGGTTTAAAGAAACTCGAACCGACAGCTGCCAGGGAAGTTCGCATCAAACACCAATCATCACCCTCACGATGACCGTCACCACCATCACCACCTCCACCAGCAGCAGCAGCAGCAGCAGCAGCAGGCACCCACCAGGCACCAGGCACCAGAACCACCAGCAGCAGCACCAGCACTAGCACCATCGTCTTATCATACCTTTCGACCTTATCCTCACACAACGACCATCCGAAAACACAGTTGTCACCATCATGGGTGCAAACACACCGGCTTCACTGGCGGCCCGGTCCTGGTGCTTTCAACTCTCGAAAAATGAGGCAAGACCAGGTTCCTTTCCGTTGTCTCCCTAATCCCTAAACCCCACACGACGGCGGCCTTCTCAGACTTCATGCGTACAAGCTCCATCTCCTTGGAACAGTGCAGCTAGTGCAGCTTTTGGAGTTGAGCGTTGAGGTTTATATATAGGGTTTCGGTACACTTCTTGATTTTTGTGTAGGTTTAGGGTTTGAGGCATCTTTGCATGCCGCAGTTTTTTTTTAGCACTGGCACTCGACGAGGTCAGATCAGGAGTATAGGGAAAGGATCACGAAACAACGCCAGATACATGTACGGATGCGCAAACCGGGGATCCGTGGCATATCAACGTATCGATGTTGACCCGCTTGGAGAGGTAAAGTGCATGGATGAACCGACAGTGAAACAAAGACATGCCTGCAGGACTGTGCTCAGCACCCTGATGTCGCCACAGCTCCCCTGAACCCTGAAACCCCAAACCCAAAACCGTTCTGAACCCTCCCTTGTTTAGGAGAACCATGCGTAAGGCCCACAAGACGCACCACTCGAAGCCGGTCTCTAATTGCGAGTACCTCCTGCATACTGCATAGCGAGATGCCAAAGCCTTCACCCGAATCTGCAAGATGCGAATCTGCTCCTTGGGATTCAGAGCGTAGGATTTCCACGTTCAGGACTTTTTCATGGCTTTTACACAAGCCTAAAGCGGGGGTGGCGCCCCTTTAGCAGCGCAACCTCAAAAGACGAAAACCTTTAACCCCAAACTAAACGAAGACGCCTGAAAATCTAAACATTGAGGCTACCTTAACCTTGCATATTATGTCCGACAGGCTTCACACAATAGCAGTTAGTCGTACTATTCCTTAGTGTTCCTTACTATAGGCATACCATGAAATAGCCCAAAACCCATTCTACTGGTATGTAATCCAGCCCCTATAATGAACCTCTAAACCATGTTATGGGAGGGATAATGCAGCTAATGGAGTCAACCCCTGAACAGACTCTGAGAAGCTTTCTTTCCCTAGTCCCGAAACCCTCACAGTCCCCGCAATTCAGGGAGGGGCCGCGCACTGCACATGAAGATGAAAGATCTTTTGCGGGCTCTGATACCTCGTAGATCGAAAAGCAGCAGCCCGAAAAGGCGATCGGGGAGGGGAAAACTCGGAAGCTTGAGGCCAAGCCGGGGCGGAGGTTTTTCACTCACGTTGGCTCATAGACTTTTCACGGGCCGCAGCCTGTGGCCCGCGACCCAGGCGACCCGCGGTAAGGCTCAAAGGCCTAGGCCAACCCTACCAAGGGCCCCAGACAAGCGCCAACATTAGGAATAAAAACCAAGGCCCCCAAGCCGTTCCATAAAGAGAAGGGGGATGACCACCCACAGGGACCATGGTAGGGGAGGGTTGGGACGCGCGGGGGAGGGCAGGAATGCCGGCAAAACCTGGAGGGCCTGAGTTCTGGACGTCTTTCTCTGCCGACTTTCGCCGCTCTCTGTCCAACTGAACCTTTCAGACGCTGAAGGTTTAAGGCTTAAGGCTTATAGGGTTAAGAACTTTGAGGCTGACGTGACCTAATTGCTGCTCCAGGGCTTGGGATTAGTGCTTTGGGGCTTCAGGGTTTTGTGGATGAGCTCAAGGTCTTGGGATTCGAGGAGTGCTTCTGGTAGGTCCTTCTTGCTGTGAACACTGAGCACGCAACCTTCAGAGACAGGTTCGGCTCACTGGCTCCGAGAAACTAGTGTGAATCTGCTGGTCAAGGCTTGCTAAGTTATAGCGCTTTCTGTGGGGTTCCGTGTGGGTTCAGGGTGTGTTGACTGGAACTGCGTCTTTTCTCAGCTTTTTGAGGGTGAGAGTGACTCTGCTCCTTTCTGCCTCCCCAGTGCCGTCCCTCTCGCTCTCTTCGTCTCTCTCAATGTGGGAAGTTCTCTTAAGTAGGGTCTTTTTAACGGTGCCGCACTATATGGATAAAGCAGCGGAAAACGGGGCCTGGGAGCCCGCCCCAGACTTCGATCGAAATGGCTCCCGCCCCCTTGAGGCCAACACCTATAATCACCATAGTGATGGTTATAGGAATGATAAGAGGATTATGATATACAACACTAATGATAATACGAATAACAGTAATGCAAACAATCCCGCAAAGTGACGCATCCCTGGTCCCGCCTTCAAGCTCTCTTCGCTCACGGAATCCGTGCTGCATGTGGAGGCTTCGGAGTCGACGCCGCTCTGCATGACCGGCAGCAGAAGAGCGGAATTGCTGGAAAATTCTACCCAGCCCTTTCTATTCAGCCAACTGATGGGAAACAAATGCGGATAACTCTGCCGGCAGGTTGCTCTAAGATACAACTTTCAATTCTTCGGCAGCACTGTAAACAACTCGTCTTTGTTCGGGCGCAGGCCGGAAAAGGCTGGGGCCAGAGAAGAGCAGAAACAGCACAAAGTCATGCTGGGTCTGGGTTTCAATCGGTTTAGGGCTTAGGGTTCGGGTTTCAAACCTGCAGGTTCAGGGGGCATAAGAGCAAGCAGAACCCTGCAGAAGCGATACGTTTGTTTACGACAGTAGCAATGAAGCGATGCCAGTGACGGGTAGAAACGGCATTACACGAGCCTGCAAACAAAAATCCGGGATGGATTGCAGATCAACACACAACTAGATAACTTGCGGGTCGAAGAAACAAGATCGCGCCCTCCTTGCTGGTTCTGATTGCGATGTTTCGGCATCGCCGTAAAATGTCGTCTTGCTTGGGGGCAGGCCGCGCAAAGGCTCGGGTCACAGTAGAGCGGAACAGCACAAAGTCCCGTTGGGTTTAGGGGTTTAGCGCTTCAAGGTCAGATTTGGCTTTGCGTGGAAGCGAGGCCGTGCAGAATTCTGAAGTCAACATATACACCGCCGACTTCAGAAGATTATCGAGCAACACAACCCTGGAAACAGCCACACACCTCTCTGATAAACTTACCAGTGCGAGACCCTACCGCACCTAAACTATGATGCTATAAGACTTGTGGCAAAGCTGCTGCACTTATATTACTTGACTATAGTATAGTTTCAGTCCACTGGCTGAATCGAAAGGTAGAGCAACTGCAAAAGACCAGCGGGTAGGCTCAAGGCCAGCTAGCCCTCGGTGGTGCTGCTCTAAGCCGAAGCTATGTCAATGCTTGGTTTAGGGTTTAGGGTTTTAGGGTCTTGACACTCGCACTCGGTTTAGGGTTTGGGGCTTTCGGGTTTAGGGGTTTAGGGGTGGTTTATTTAGGACTCCAAAAGATTGAAATGATCTGGACCTCTTTGCTGAAAGCGACCTCCATTGCCTGAACAATTCCAGTTGTACCAGGTCAAGACACTCCAAACCAACGAACACAACACCATCCTCAACTCCTCCTGGAATATGGGATTGAACGAATCAGAGAACCGTGCTTTTGAGCCCTGCAATCTGCAGCCCTGACAGCTGCCAGGCGGGGGTGAGACAGGACTTCCCAAAGCACGAGTGTTCGATGCTTTACCGCCGGTGCGCTGCTGTGGGGTTCCGGGTCAATGAGGGCGCGTAAGGGTTGTGATTTTTTCACGGTTTCAACTTAGGGATCTTAGAGTCTTAGAGTCTTAGAGGTGCCTTCAACGAAAGTCGGAGCCAAACGACTCGGCACCAGAAATGCCTACCCGATGGGACAGGCACGTGTAAGCCGAGTTCCTGTAAAAGCCCTAACCCCAGAGCCTAAGCTCTAAACCCCTATACAAACCCAAGCCCTGAAATTAAACACCCCACAAAAAGCTTCGAATATCTTCGAGTGGTAACCCACGAGAGGCCAGCTCTCTTTGAGCTCATAAACATCGAGCTTCAAATCAAAGCCCAACAAGCGACTACGTGCCGGTCAAAAACAGAACCCTAAACCCTAAACCTGGAGGGGCGACTCAAACCCCAACGTTGCCCGGCGTTCGGGGTCTGCAACTTCGGGGTTCAGGGTTGCAATTTCTAGGGTTCGGGTTGAGAGTTTGGTGAAAAGCTCCGGGATTCTAGGGCACGGACTTAGCTTCGAACAGGAGCCCCTGGGAGTCGTGCGAGCTCCAAACAGGGAGCCCCTGCGAAAAGAAGCCAGGGAATGACTGACACGACCTTCCAAGAAAGGGACACCCTGCGATCAGGCTGTTTGGAATTCAGGCTCCCGGGTTTCGGGTGTAAGGTCCGGGTGGATCTTGTTTCTGGTTGCTTTGAGCTTTGGCAGTTAAGCTTAAGGGCTTAGGAAGTGGAGCCCGTCTAGGCTTGGAGGTTGAGTGTGTGAGATTTCTAGCGGTTTAGAGCTCATGTCTTTCTGGCCTGTGAGTTGGGGGGTTTGGGGCTCAGAGCTTATCGAAGGGAGGCTCCGTAGCTGAAGTACATCCAGTGGATCTGCATTTAAGGTTTAGGGTTTATGTGGTCATATACAGGCCTCGATTATAAGAAGGGCGCCCCCGAGCAAGGCTCCACATAGTGGGGTTGAAAGAGGTTTAGGTTTGCGTTTACCTGAATACAAACTCCAACAGAGATACGATGGCCAGGTTCCGCAATAGTCTTGTGGCCACCCTCAGCGCCTCAATAACGAGAGCCTCAGAGCCCAAAGTAACAGAGGATCTCAGCAAACTACCACCCAAACCCAACCCGATCTCAACCTACTAGTAGCAGGCCGACAGTGCCCCACAGCAACTTCAACCCACCCTTCAACCCTACTGCACACAAACCTAGCAGTACACTGGAAACACGGTGTTGGGAACGCACAATGCACATGCCGCACACACAGCAGTGGTGCCGGGGATTCACCCCTCCGTAGAAAAAGTGCACTCGGGCACACAATGGCTCAACTGCCAGATGTTATCCGATCCATAGTGCCGTATGGCACAAATAAGCGGCAGCCCAAACAGGGCGGGCGGGCGGGTGCAACAAAAAACGAGAAGACAAATCAACCCAAGACACTGGCAGCCAGGCAAAGCTGCAAACTCACGCATGGCGAAGTCGAAGACGGTTCATGTGCTA